TTACCGGACGGGGTATAGGGACAACCTGTTAAATGATAAATTGATTATTAGGTTCACGCATAGGGGGACATCCCTATGGATCTCCAAAAGTACCGTATAACATGTAAAACGATAAGTTGCTATTCTTGGTAACTGGATATGAAATTATAGTGTTATTTTAATTATTGTTTTCATAGGTCGATTTTGAAAACTCATAATAATAAGTATGAAATGAAAGGTTTTATGTTAAATGAATTTACCTAAACTAATGGCTTCATTAATTGTTTTATAATTTTTATCAACTTTCGATTTTTCGTATCAGTAATTAATGCGATATTTTTACTAAAGTAGTGTAACTTATCTCTCTATTAAACCATTTTAGATCAAAAAAACTATAATTCAAATTCTGAACAGCATGAAAATTGCAAGTAAAGATTACCTCCCAAACCCCATAAAAATTGTCAGTGAAGATTAACCCCATAAAATTTTAGTTTCATTTTTGTTTCTATTATTTTAACTTTTTTTAAAGAAATATTTCTACAACCCTATTGAATATCTTAATTTACTGTGTAAATAATATAAATCCTAACTATTATTTGTTTTCGCTATTTTAATATATATTCTTTCTCTTAAGATTTTGCACATTTATATATAAGGTTAAAATATAGAGATTGGATTGTAACTTGACCAAGATTATACACCTGTTTTAAAAAAAGAACCTTTATATAATGTATAATGTGATGTATATTAGGATCTTTTTTTCTCCTCTCTAAATTCAGAAGATAACTATAAATAAAAATAAAAAATATATTTTAAAAATGCTGTAAAAATGTATATACATATCTATGCAATAGGATTGAATGGGTGTATACGATTTATTTTAAGCAATAGGATTGAATGTATACGCCTCTTGCCATCTAAGATAAAGATATAATGGCTAAGCTTCTGAGGCAGACATCTTCCTCTTCTTCTCTTCCTCATCCTAGTTCTTGTTTCTGCAGGTCTTCAATTTCTTATAATCATAATTAAACATAAAAGTTTCTTTATCTTATAACTTTTATGTCAACATAAACACAGCTCTTAAAGATAACAAACTAGCTGTCTCTGCATATACCTGTTAGCATATGGGGACTGGTCAGATGGATTGAAGCCTATCAATGGGTGACTCAAGAAGACAAAACTACAAACTACTCATAATTACCCTTTAATCATCCTCCACTAAGGTTGGTTGTTTTGAAATTTGGTAACCTCCCTATAGAAAGGATGCGAAAGTTGGAAAATCTTTTGAATATATTTAGAAGAAGAAATCCAACATTTGTACGGAATTCATTTCCAAACCTACTTTTCTTAAGTAGGAGAGGAAGATCCCTACCTAAAATGATAAGAATAAGATTCTATACTTCAAAAATAATATCTTAGGATGTAGATAAGTTCTAAATATTCTACAATACCAAAGATAAATATCCAGTCCCATCTTGTATTGCAATCTGGGATTCCCCAACATGCATTTGTGTTTTATCAAAAATAGAGATACGAATGGTGGGAAGAAGAATGTGTAAAAAGAAGCAAAAGGTCAGGATTTTGCAGAAACACTGAGCAATCTGACTGTCAGTGCAAGAACTGGATTTACATGTTTCTGTTACTTGGGATGTTAAACAAGCATCCATCATTGATCCATCTTCAACTTTACTATCTGCATAAAATCCTATTAAATAAAATGATGATCCACTACCCATCTCCACATACTTCTGCACATGGACACACAGAAAATAGATTACCGTATGTTAGTATAATTCAATTACCACTCCCACCTCTATCCCTTCTGCTCTACAGAGGATCTTCCACCATCTGAAATAATGCTAGATCTATGAAAACCATTCAAAATAAAATCACTCATCCAAGATGATAAAATCTTGTCTTATTAATTCCTGATTACCCACTGCAAAATTAATGCCTGTTAGCCTTAGTTAACCCCTAAACTACACTCACTTCTGCCTCTCTAAATCCAGGCAACAGAATCTTGTAACCCCACATTGTATTTTCTTTTTCCTGTCCTTTCTCTACCGTTTTCACAGCTGCCTATCATAAATACAAAACCAAACTCATACACATAAAAGACATTCTTCCAACCACAATGTACACATTTCATTAATCCAGGAAACAAATCAATCACAACTCTAAACCAAGATTTGAAACAAACCAAAAAAAGAAAAAAAAAAAAGAGTGAATTTACTCAGAAGAATAAGGGAAGAAAGGGAGAAAGCAATCACTTCTTCTTGCCTTTGCCAGGGGACCTACGCTTGGTGGGAAGGACAATCTCCCCCTTGAGGACAGGAATCTCCATAATCTCCGACAACTCACCGAACTTCTTGCGGAACTTCTCAACCTGGTCGGCGTCGACAAGGACGGCACTGCGGTTGCCGAGGTAGAACGGGTGGTTACCGGACCACACATCCACCACGTACTCCTTCTGTGTCCCACCCGTCGTCATCACCAGCTCCCCGTTGCAGTAAACCTTCGCGTCCTCATGGAACTCAGGGTGTATGTCCTTCTTCCTACAGGTTATCAATGGCGAATTACCACTCCTCGCACTCACCACCTGTTTCTGCTGTCATTTTTTTGAAACAGAAAAGGGAAAAAATGAGAATAATCAAGTGGGTTTCATGAGAAACTTAGAGGAGCAGATTTGTTCACCTTTATGATAGGAGGAGAAGGCTTGATTTGGAGAAATGTGTTGGGTAGAGTTAACGCCATTGTTTATCTGGTGCGCGGAGAGGGAGAGGATGAGGATCTGCTACTTGCTAAGATAAATTGCTTCTGTAGTTGAATTTACATTTTTACCCCTCTGTTTGTGATTGGAATTGGGCCTTATTGGCCTCGTTCTACTTCTTTCGTTATATACTCACCTTCTGTTTTTAATTAGCACCCTACTAATTATTAATTAAAACTTTATATTAAAATTAATTCTTTTAAAATCTCAAAAAAATAGTCACTCAATTTTTTAATGTGAATTTAAAGAAAAATGTTACTCCTTATTTTTAGATTAATATATTTTCATATAGTTTTGGAAGAAGTTATTAACTTTATTAAATAATTGATATATTATCTAAGTTACATGTTCTTAACCATTTTGACAATATGTTTATTTTGTAAATAAATAAAAAAATTAAGTATTTTGATGGTACAAGTTAGAGAGTTACAAATTTATTTTTTTATAAAAATTTAAAATGAATTAATCACAAACAAAAAGTAAAATAAAAAAGTTAACTCAATATAATGTTTTTATTAATTGCATATTTAAATATAAATTATCAAAATAGTCATGACTCGTTTCATCAATTACATCATATAAAATTGCACCTTTATAAAATACAAATAATTTGATATTAGTTATATTGTCTCTAAGCCAATCACCAAAGATGGAATGTGGTATAGTTATGTAATAATCTTATTCATTTATAAATAATAATACTAAAAAACGTTTCTTTTGTCATGATTTGCTCCTTCACAATGAATATATCTTTTACCTATTATACCATAATATAATAAAAAAATTTAGGAAATTTTTGAAAGAAATTAGGATTGGGATAAGAATCACAATAATTCATATATTATGTCTTAATTTTCAAGATGTTCCTAATCATAGGATCATGAAAATTGAACACTTGTGATATATCTACTATCATTATATGTTATACTTAATACTTGTAATATAATCATTTTCATTTAATACTTACATAATTAATATAAAAGCTAGTGGATATGTATTCATCAAGAATGATTTTGATGACTAGCTCGCACAGAACTCTTTCATAGCAAATCATTATTGTGAAGTATGAAAGTCTATATAAGAATAGTATTGTTTATTTGTTGAACCTTAGATAACCATGATCACCTTGTAAATATCCCACCATGTTTTGATGTTACCAACATGTACATTGTAACGATTCCGAAAATATTCAAAGGAAATAAATTATAAATTAAGTGCGGAAGCGTAATAAATGTTAAAAGTTTACATTCCCTGTACAATAACTTAAATAACCAAACGGAGCTGCGGAATTCAGTTTTTTAAAAAACAAGAATAAGGAAATAAACAAAAAAATAAAGAAAACTAGCATCTACTCGTAATCATCTTGCAGTTCGGCATCTGGAACTTAATCCTCTTGATTTAAAATTGTTAAATAAGGAATTAACTACACTAGTTCAGTAAGGACATCACACTATATCACCGATACAGAAGTAAAAGTTGGTAGAAAATAAAAAAAAATACTAATAGAGTACTAAATTTAGTAAATTCATTTATCAATCATAAAACCATTTACCGTA